TCTTTCTCTCTATCTCTCTTTGTCTCTCTGTCTCTGTCTCTCTCTGGTGGGTTTCTTTGAATCTCTGGAGCCTCATGAGATAAATTTTTTTCTCAAGAGCTCTCAAGACTATGTTGACAAAGCACCTCTGTTCCTGTTCTCTCCTGAACACAGTCCAAACCTTCAAAACCACCCAAAGTTCCTGTAGGTGGAGGGTTCAGCCCCCCAACTCTTTCACCATCTGTTGTCCTAGTCTGGCCTCATCTGTTCAGTGGCTCCTGAGAGGCGCCAGCAGGCCCTGGCTCACCATGGTGCTTAGTGCCAGGCCCTCAGCTTCCTCGGGCAGTACAGCTGGAGTCCAGCATCGCCCTGATGTCCCCTGGCACCTCAGACCCCAGGACCAGACACCTCATACACTCTGTCCTTGTCTTCACACAGGATCTCATATTCACAGCAAACGCCCCAGTACATATACATGCTGAGTGTTATAACCCTCTATGCAGCCCCCATCACGATGCTAGACACCCCATTCCTCAACCAGCTCCCCAAGCCTACAGGCAGGGGGAACTGTGCCCTGGGCCAGCGTTGGGAACCCTGAAAGTGACCAGAGAGAGGCAGAGGGGATGCCAGGAAGCCAAGAGCCAGGGTGTCTGGAGGGCTGAGCCCGACACTCACCAGCAGTCTCTCGAGGGCCGAATACAACTTCCGGATTTTATGAGGTAGCCGCTGTGAAGAAAAGACAGACAAGCCGCCACTGCTCTGGGACTGGAGGCCCCCCCAAACCAGGGCTCCCGGGAGGGGGCTGAGGCCTTACTGCAGCCTTGGAGCCCTCCAGATCCCACCTACCTCCCAGGTGTGGGCCAGGCGGCTGATGGCTGAGTTGCTGAGGCCAAACATGACCGCAAAGAAGGAATTTAGATTCTTTTGCTCCTTGAGGCTGTGAGCAGAAGACCCAGAGGCCCTCAGGGGAAGTGGCCACACCCACAGTGCACCCAGACAACAGCCAGGCCTGGAACCCAGGACAGGGCCAGGCCAGCGCAGCCTCTGCAGGAACCCAGGCTGGATTGGGTGGGGAGGCAGAGGCTCCAGGGGACCCAGGGAAAAGGAGTGCAGATTTGGCAGCATCAAAACAGGGGTTGGCCGGGGAGGGATGTTACAAAAAGGTGACCTCAGGACTCTGGCCATGCACCATGCCCACCAAATAGGGACTCACTGGGCCGCCAGCTTGATGAACTTCCTGAGCAGCTGGGCCCGGGGGCCAGGCACAGGGCACAGACACAGCTCCGTGGCCACCCAGTACTGCAGCTCATTGAAGCGGTGCATGAAGCGCTCCAGGTTGGCGGTGGTGACATCGCGCAGATGCTGGGGACCCAGCACGTAGTGGATCAGCTCCACCTGGGGGGCGGCAGGGGAGGTCCATGTGTGCCCGGTGGGGCAACCTGTGCCTGCCCCCCCCAGCCCTTCTCCACACCTGGTGGATGCTGTTGAAAAGGCTCCAGTCATGGTCTGTCAGCTGGCTGGCCAGGTCCTTGGCGCTCACCAGGTCCAGCCCCTCAGCAGAGCCCACAGTGGGCCCCAGCTGCTCAGGGTGTGGGGTCTGCAGGTAGGAGAGTGCTCAGGGGGGTGCCTGAGGAATCCAGGGAAAGGACACGGGGTGGGGGGAGAGGGTTTGGGGCACAAACTCTGTGCTGAGGCAGAAGGCTGTTGGGGGCAGGAGTACTACAGGGAGTTAAGAGGCCTCTAGGGGCTGTGGCAGCTGAAGGAGGGGCTTCCCAGGGACATAGCTTCCTGACAGCACCCCAGTACTGGGACTCCTCCTTGTAGAGCTCCTGTCCACTGAGTAACCTCTAACTAGGGCAGCTCTTCCACTTTCACCTTGGGAGCTCCCAACCAGCACTACCCGGCCTATCTTTGGAATCCCCCCATCAGCTGAGGCCCACTCCTTCTTCTTTACCCTGAAGACCCAGCAGGAGCCGGAGCCAGGCTCCTCCCTCTTCTCGCTGTGACCCTTACCCAGAACCCACCCTGTCACCTCCAAAACAGAGTTCCTCCCTGGGCCCTGGCACCCTGCCTGGTCCTTACCAGCTCATGCACTTCCTGTGGGTTGACAACAAAGAGCCGCTCGTTGAGCCCCAGGGATGTGGCCACACCACGGGCATCTGGCTGCAGGCCAATGGCATCTGCAAAGACAGCAGAGGCTGCGCTGGGTGGGGGCATGGAAGAAGGCCCACGGCCAGCTGGAGGACAGGGTAGAGGCCTTGTCTGGGAGGCTGTGAGGTCCCTTCTCCCAGTAGTGGGGTTAGGGACCTGGGCAGGCGTTGTAAATGCACAGGTGCAGGTGCCCACACATCCACACTGCCCAGGGTGGCACACCCAAGGAGGATGAAAGGGACTCTTAATGAGACAGGCAGACCTTAGGCAGGGTTTGAACCTCCCCGAGCCTCAGTTTCCTCCTTTGTAAAATGGAGACATTAAGAGTTACTCACAAGTCAAATGAAATAATTTATATAAACAGTGTCTATAAGTATGTGATGCACATAAAAAGACCTTTGAAAAGTGGTAAATGTCTCACTTAAGTCTTGGTGTTGATATTCATCAGCTCCTTGTGGACTGGGACTGTGCTTTTAGTCATGTTTGAGTCGCCAGTTTCTATTCCAGTGGCCTCCAAAGTAACCTACACAAGGCCATTCACGTGTCCAGGAAAAAATATTAATTCTTCTACTTATATTTTTTTTTATCAGTTTTGTGTTTCTATTTTGTGCCCAGTTTTATAATTATATAACATTAGTATAGAATATATTGTATGATTTAGAAACAAATATACACATAGTGGGAGATGTGCAATAAAATATTGGTTGCTGACGTGGGTGTCGATCAAAGCAGTTGGGAGATCAGTGCTGTATGTATGGGCTTTGGGCAACTGCAACCCACCAGGTGGCCACCAGAGGGCAGTGCTTCCCAGAACAGAGTGCACAGGTGACCTCATCAGTCTCTCCCCACTTCCTGAAGGGAGAAGGTTTTTCTCACCTCCACCTCTTGCCTTTATTCTCTGAATGCACCTAATTCTTTTCTAGCCTGGGCTCCAGTTGGCAGGCTTGGGCTGGGTCTTTCACAGAGAACAGTGGTTTTCAATGTCCCAAGTTCTCTGAAAGCAAATTTTAATGATCCTCATGCAGCCCTATTCTGAGTACTGACTTTATGGCAGGCCCCATGCTAAATGCTTTACACGCATTATCTCCTTTAAGAGCCACAGCAGTCCTGCGTGATAGATACAATTACAGTACTCATTGGACAGATGAGGAAACAAAGGCTCAGAGAGGTCAAGCAACATGCTCAGGATCACACAGCTAGTAAATTGTGAGTCTGCGAGTCCAAAGTCTATGTTCAAGCTGGTCTGTCTTATCTGCCATGGTACCTCTAGCTCCTAACACATTGCTGGTCCATAGCTGACCCTCAAAAATGTTTGCTGAATGACTAAATGAATGAAGACTACCTCTATTCCGAGGCTGCTACCCTCTCTTACCGTGCGAGCTAGGGGAAATTGCTTACTCCCCTTGAACTTTAGTTTCCCTGTCTGAAAATAGGATAAAAGTATCTATCTCATAGGATTGTTATTAGGATTAAGTGAATATACAAAAATGATAATAATAATAGTATCAGCTAATACTTATTTATCACTGACTATGTGCCAGACACCATTCTAAACACTTTAATAGATTAACTCATTTAATCCTCACAATGCTTGTAGGAGACAAGTACTCTCATTATCACCATTTTACAGGTGATGAAACAGCACAGAGAGATTAACTACCGTGCCCGAGGACACACAGATAATGAGCTAAAGGGCTGGTATCAAAGGCAGGCAGCAGGCTCCAGAGTCCACGCTCTTATGCACTACATGTAAAGCACTTAGAATAGATAAAATAAACCTCCCATAAATGCTAACATGCTAACCATTAACATTGATCAAGATGATAAAGATGGTAAACATTGATAAGGATAATCTTAATTCAGGAGATCTGGGCATGGATCTGAGGGGGCACCTCCCTGGGGGTCTATTCAGAGGCACAACTCACCACCTGCAGAGTTGACCTTCACCAGCACCTGCCCCTTGGTCCACCCGTCCTCCTGGGCCAATGCCACCATCACCTCTCTCACTGAGGCTGTTACAGGCAGCTGCAGGGTCAGCACAGAGTGGTCCGGCCGGCAGATGTCATAGGGGACTGGAGGGAAGGACCAAGCCAAGCTGTGGGCAGGGCCGCCTCATCTCCCCACCCCAGCAGGACAAGGGCAGCCTGAGCGGTAATGGGAGAAATCCCCAAGAGGCAGGGTAGGGGGTGCGACAAGGAGAAGCCTGGCGGACCAGCTCGGCAGAGCAGGAGAGGGCACAGGAGGCAGAGCTGCCTGGTAGCCTAGGACAGAGACCCCAGGAGTGCAGCAGGCCACCCTCAGCCCAGGCACACTGAGGTCAAGGGTGACAACAGTAGGACAAGAGAGGCAGAGACAGCAGAGAGCCTGGCTGGCTTGGACCACCAACCTTTGTCCCCAGCGCGGATGGCACAATTGCTGCTGTGGAGGAGCTCGTCCTGGCCAGGGAGCCAAACAGGCACGTTCCAGGCCTGAGAGGGAGAAAAAGTAAGGCTCGGAGGACACAGAGGGAAGGGACAGAGGGGGTCTTTGCCACAAGGAGCATGAGACCCTCACAACCCTCACACCACCAGAGTGCTCTGCTTGCCACATAACCTCAGCCCAGGTAAGGTGCCTGGGACCAAGGCTCCAGAAGAGATGGAACAGGCCCAAGGGTGGGGCAAGTCTGTGCCCCTCCACATGTGTTCTTCCCTCTCTGTCAAATAGGTCCACTGTGTATTATGAAAACACCTCAGCTGTTGACCCTGGTTTTCTCTTCCTTTCCTTCCTTTAGCTACCATTTGCTACAAGCCAGGTGCTGTTAAGCATCTAAATATTCACGATAGCCCTCTGACAAAAGCATTTCTATCATCCCCATTTTATAGATGCCGTAAACGAGGCTCAGAGAGGTTAAGTAACACACCCAAGACCACACAGCTGCCAAGTGGCAGAGCTGGAATCCTGACCTGCTCCTCCCTCCCTCTGTGCTTTTGTCCACACACTACTGTGTCAGCTGCCCTGTCAAACCTCACAGCAGGGACTCAGTGGGCCGAAACCACTGCCAAACCTTTGCTGACGGGGCAGCCCCTGCTAGGCAAAGGCCTCCTAAAGCAGGATCCTCTTCCCACCCCTGACTCTTCCTTCCAACTCAGGTGCTCTCTGCCTCCTTCCAGCTCTGCATGTGGCAGATCCTCAAGGTTTAGACCTCAGTCCTCAGTCTATCATTTGTCCCTAGATTTCCAAATCACAGAGTCCTCCTCAGAGTTCCTTGCAGCCTTGTGTGCCACTTGCATCTGTGTCAGCCAAGCCCTGGTCTCACACACCCCCTGGGGCCTTCCACATCTGTGATACTTTGCCCCACACTCAACACACCCACCAATCCCCACGTCCTGCCTCCCAGACCACTCTTTCCCCTGTGATTCTCCCGGGCTCCTGACTCCTCCCCATGTCGCCATAGCTCGTAACCCTGATCTGGGGACTCTTCTTTGAAATGGGTCTCCCGGTGCCCCTTTCTCCCCAGCCCAAGATAACTCCAGCTCCACCTGCCCAGGAGGCCTCGCTCGGCATCCACTACAATGGCCCGACTCTCCTCCTCCACCCTCACCCGTCGTGTGCCTCCATCCTCCTCCTCCAATCTGCCCAGCCAGAGCCAGATTAAGCTTCCTGATTCGGCTTCAATGGCCATCATTGTCTGCTGGACAAAGCCCAGGTTCTTTAGCTGACCTCTTCAAAACACAAATCAGATTTTGTTGCTCCTCGGCTCAGACCCCTTCAATGGTTTGCATGGCTCTTAGGATGAAGACCAAACCCCTTGCCATGGCCCGGTGGCCCCTGCCCACCTCCCTGGCCTTCTCTGGTGTCCTGCTCTCTCACTCTGCCTCCTCCAAGGCTCCCTTCCCTCTACAGCTGGCCTGCCCAGAGCCCTCTTCTTCCCACCCCTCGGCCCCTGAAGCTCTCAGCTCCAGCAGTCACTTCCCCGGGGACTCTTCCTGAACCTGCAAGCCTGATGAGCAGTTCCCCTTCTCTGCTTTCAGAGACCCCATCTCTGTCACTGTATATCACAGAGCTGCTTAGCAGCTTTGCCCCTCACTTGGCTGTGAGCCCCCCAGCCCAGCATGGCTCTCCCAGCCCACCGCCGCACCGTTGGCACCCAGCACAGTGCCCAGCACGCAAGGGCAGTTCGGCCTGGTTCCTGCCGTCAGCCATGTGCCGGCAGCATGAATACAGGGGAAAGAGATGGGGAGGCCCCCGAGTGAAGCTGATATTCTAGTGCAATATGAAATACTAACAGATAGTAAGCAAGTCGACAACAACGAGAGAACATTCCACCACCGAGTGCTTTGCAGAATATCAGAGGACACCCTGAGTGGGAAACAGCGGGGGAGAAAGACAAGGGGCCTCTCAGGGACAACAGCTTGGCTGAGATCAGAAGAAGGATCCAGTCAGGCAAAGAGCCAGAGAAAGCAAGTTCCAGGCTGAGGACAAGTGCAAAGGCCCTGAGGTGAGAAGAAGCTTTGTCTGTAGGAGAGAAGGAGCCAGTGAGTCTCCAACAAGCAGGAGGGTGGGATGGCGTGAGGTGAGGAGGGGGCTGGGTACGAGAGCCGGCAGCCAAGGGGAGGCATTTGGACCTTACTTTCAAGGCGGAACTCCCACAACCAACCCAATGACCTTTCCAGCCCTTTCTCCTGCCATTCCTCAACCAAATCTGGCTCCATGCACATCTTCTCATCCCCCCTTGCTCTCTGTGGGCCCTAGTCAGGAATGGCGTAGGCCACCTCTGACTCCCCAGGGAGGGGGCAGCACCGGCCACCGGGAACCCCTCGGGCCTCAGAGGCTGGCTCAGCCGTCATTCCTCACCTCCCCAGCTCTACCTGTGAGCACAGATTACCTCCTGCAGGTATGAAAGCCCCTTGGGGTGGGGGAGGAAGGGTGCCACCCATGTCTCCCCTGTAGGGGCTGGCCCGGAATGAGCGCCACACACAGCAAGGACCCCTGAATGCCCCTGACAGACCCAGAGGTGTGTCTGTGGGAGGGACCCATGCAGGGTCCCTCAGGGAAGGGCTGGAAGAAGGCAGAGGGAAGAAGCCAGGTGGGCAGAGGTGACTCTCGGGGCAGACACCTTCATCTGAGGAGATGCATTCCCACAGCCATTTTCCAACCTGTGGAAAGGGAGAGACAAGGGAGGTGAGCGGGCCAGGTATCCCTGGGGGCGGGAAACGCAGGGTCAGGAGCAGGGAGGTCCGGGGCTCTGGATTCCAGCCCGCCCTCGCCAGCGGCTCAGAGGTCAATCCAACTTGGTGAATATTACATAGAAAGGGGCAAAAACGGGCTTGAAACCTGGACCGTGGTTTCTGGGATTTTCCAAGGCTGGCAAGGGAGGGAAACAGTTAAAGGGAGATACAGAGCCAGGGTTTCAGATCGGGTGCTGCTTCAGGGAATGTCTGGGAAGGAAGGTAAACGCTAGGAGATTTATTGGGCTGGGCTGGCAGGAACTGGCACCGAAGGTATTCCATGACAAATGTGTGCCAGATGGAGGAAGTGAGAGCAGCAGGTGTGTGCAGGGTCTGAGGATGAGTAAATAACTGATCGCATGACGCGTGAGAACGGATGGGCGCGTGACCACGTGAGGGTGGATAGCAAAGGGACCGACAACAGCGGCTGATGGGTCTGGAGCCAGGTGCTTGACCAGCGTGTGCTCTCGGACCTGCCGCACTGCCGGTCACAGACATGACAAATTAACTTAGAGTCAAAGCATCACCTGTGGTGGCGCCGCCTCTCTGGCCACTGCTCCCTCAGCAGGTTGCTAAGTCGGGAGTCCCTGCTCACCAGGTCTGAGAGTTTCTACAAGGAGCCAAGATTCAATTCGCTGAGTTGGCCGTAGCTGCATCCGCCCCAGGCAGCCCAGTGCACCCTGCTTCTCTCCCAGGTACCTGGAGGAAGCTGGTGGCCACGGGGTCAGTGTGGAGCATGGGGCCGTACAGGGCCACCCACTGGCTGACCAGCCGCAGGATCTGCTGCCGCTTGTTGCAGATGTAGGTGCTGCGCTCCTGCTCACTGCCTCCTGCGGGCTCCGCATGGAAGGTGGGCTCCGGTCAAGGGAACCACAGGACTCAGCAGGGCCACCCCCACACCTTAGGCAAAGGAGGCACAAGATGCCCAGGGCCCACTGACAATCTGGCACCTCAGAGGGTCCAGCACGGCCACAC